CGCGTTAAAAGAAATGTTAAAAAAGTAAAATAAATAAATAAATATTCATTTTTTATAGTAAATTTTGATACCCTTTAGATCATCATTGCTCTTTATTTCATAAATTACAGTTTCATATTTTTAATTTTATAATTTCTGCATGCCATCTTACCAGATTTAAATTGATGATCTATAATCCGGAATTGCCGAAGTTCCGATGAGTCCGGATTAAAGACTTTTGACTGTATTTCTTTTTCGTTTCAAGTAATTGTTTTTACTTTGTTATTTTTATTAAAAATCAATGGCATTTAAAATGAGACGAAGCAGCAGCCTTATTCTGATGCAGATTTAGTATAAAACTAGTGATTTTGAGGACGGCGAGACACAAGTCTCTCTTCTTCAGGAGCAAATTTTTGTTCATAGATTAAATTTTATATTTGCGTGTTTCTCTTCCATTTTATGTCATAACAATTTTTTTGTGTGTGAAGTCATTATATCATATTTTAAAACATAAACATAATGATATTGACATATATATAGCATAAATGATATTGTTAATTCTATAAAAATCATATCTTCAATTCAAAATGATAGAAAACTTGCTTCGTTTAAAAACTTATCTTTTTGAAGAATAAAACATTATTACTGATCATTATAATGAATTTATAGTATTTTAAATATAAAGTAATACAAATGCAAAGCAACACTTTCTAAAAATACGCAGTCTTTCTGGGAAAGAACACCTTTTAATCTTCCTCAAAAACCCAGACAGTTAATTTTTAACATCTTCTGTTCTGTGAGAACGAAACTGATCCCATACTAGTAGGGCAGGTTTCTTCACTGAACTCTACTTAACTATAATATTCCCACACTCCTCAAGGAAACAAGAAAAAAATTGCAAAATTCCGAATAGAGGAACTTCCAGAAATGAATGTAATCAAAAACTGAGTATCGACCTATAAGACGCACCCTGTTTTTCAGACCTATTTTCAAAGAAAAAAGTGCATCTTATACCCCGGCAAATACGGTATTTATCGATATTATTATAAAGGCAAGTATTTATAAAATTCGGGAGTACCTACTGCATTAGATTTTGCGTTAGAATTGGTTCACTCAGAATTTATATTAAATTCATCTGTAAATAAGCTTTCACTTTCTAAACGTCAATTGAAAAAATGTTTTTATAAACAGACCGTCTCAAGAGTCCTTTTTAGCACCCTTTTATATAAGCCCCAAAACTGGATGGAATTCCAGTTTTTATTTGTGTATTCTAATTATATACTTTTTATTGTTTTCTCAAGGTTAGTCAAGAAAGCGAGTTTTACAGGTCTTGAGAACAGGATGCTTCATTATTAGGTTATTTAAATTATACTTACCTGCAGACTTTTCAATTAAACTTAGTTAAGTCGAATGTAAGTTCTACAACACTACGCCTTGGGTTTGCCTAATTTTGCTTAATTTCATAAAGCTGAAATTCGTTGTAGCCAGTTTGAAATGCGGTTTTGATATTAAGACCATTTCACTGCTCCACTCCGTTTCGTAGCATCAAAAACCGTTAAATGCTTTACATTAGCAGATTGATAGCTCTAAAACTCGGAGCTTTTTGAAAATCTTGTGTAAATAAATTTCTAGCAGAACTTGTATATCATGATCACTTTAATTTTGCAATTGCTTAACTATTTGCTGAAGGCCTAATACTCTCGAATTGCAACCAATACTTGTTGAGATACATTTTCATTTTTTAAGAACAATTAGCAGCAAAACTTTTGAGTATCCGAATGAATGCATGAGTTCGATTTTTGTTCTTTTTAAATAAAACTAGCCACTTGCACGGACAACCGCATAGAAAAGCTATCATTAAAAAGACACATAATGATTTTAATAATAATGTGTATTTCATAAAAAAAAGTAAGGGTATTAAAAAAAACTAGTGTAATTTCATAAAAATATTTGATATTTCTAATTTGACTTTTGATGATTTAAATGCGTTTTTATTTACATTTAAAAAATACGAAAAATATTCTTAAAAAACTGCGTTTGTTTCCTTAAAATCCATGGATTTGTACATCAATAAGACACATTCAGTTTGAAAGTTAAATATCTCATACTTTACTAAAATGTAACACTAGGCGCGCAAAAGATGAAAGTATTATATATTTCAGGCAGTGGTAACATAACATATTAGGTTTTTAAATAGCCAAGTTTAATAAAAATTGAAAAATAAGTATCTTGCGTTTCGTAGAATGGCAACAATCTTGCGCGAAATCAATTCGAAAAGTGTTGCTATTGCTTGCTTTCAAATCGCTGAGTTTGTTAATAAAATTATTAAATTCGTACAAAGTGTGAAATAAATAAAAAAACAAATTCAAAATTTCAGCTTCGAGCTATACATGGACTACGTGTGTACAAAATTTGGTGGCAATAAGTCCCGCCGCTTTTGCGCAATGTGACGAAAATACGTACATACATATATAGAGAATCTTCATCACTTAATAATAAAGAATAGTAGTACAGTCAAAAGTCGTTAATTCGGACACCCATAATCCGGACCTCAAAGCTAAAAACTTTCTGCGCGTAAAACCTTTACGCGCACGCGCATATGCGTGTGCGCAAGTGCAGAATACGTTTTCGCGTGCGTGTTTAACGTATAACGGACGGTATAAGCTAAAATTATACAATTATCTATTTCAGTTAATGTTGATGATTGCGTTGTTCCTTAATCTTCGAATTGGATGCAGCTTATTATTTTTTGCAGACTGTAAGAGCAATTTTATAAAAGTAAACTTGAACTTTCGATTATGTCAATTTCCGATTCTGGAGCTCCCAAAGGATCTACAAAACGAAAGTATGTCTCGATGTCCGTCAAACAAAAAGTGGAATTGCTGCCAAAAATGGATAAAGACATGAAGAAGGTGACAGAGAGGTTAGTGAAAACGAAAAAATTTCGATTGACAAGTTAGTCGGTATTCTCGGCACAGCAATTACGGGATTTAAATAGCGGAGCTTTTTAACTGAACAAGAAATTATGTCTGTTTATAGAATTAAAGAGAAAGTATTATCACATAAAACGAAACAACTTGCATTGAAAGAAATGTTTAATAAAGTAAACAAACAAATATTAAGCTTCTTTTTTTGTAAATTTTGATACCCTTTAGATCATAATTGTTCTTTAGTTCCTAAAATACGGTTTCATATTTTTAGTTTTAGAATTTGTGCATGCCATCTTACGAGATTTAAACTGATGATCTATAATCCGGAATCGCCGAAGTCCCGACGAGTCCGGATTAACGACTTTTGACTGTACAACTTTTGGATAAGAGGAAAAAAGGTAGTATGCCAAATTATGCTTTGAGAAAATAAGAGCGGGGGGGGACTAACACAAAAGTATTGATAAAGCATAAACTTTTAAGTTAATTTGTTGTATTTCTGAAACAAAAACTGCACGGTCAAAGTTTATGTTTATTACCGCAATATTGTTTTCAGGTTTCTATTCTGAACGACGAGATTGCAACGTCAATAATTTATCGCCAATATCGCTGATCTTTAGACTGTCAGTGATGAATGCTGAACCATTTCTAACTGCATTTTAAATTATCCGCAATTCAATTCACCTATACGTGGCGCTTTCACACATTAATGTGGCGGATAAAAACCGGTATTTTGATTTGTGATCTGACTTCGTACATTCAAAAATGGAGTTGCTTAGCTTTTCCGAAATGTTTGATTTTGTTCAAGGAGGCGTAAATTCTCGCTGTGTTACTGAAGCAGAGAGAATTTTAAAATGTGGATTATTTGGTAATGCACAGAATTTTACTTGAAAAATCCAGTTTACAAATTTTGGCTTCCTATTTAAGGATAAGTTGTATAGCGTCTTGATCGCATGAAATCGAAGGACATTTCATTGTTCAAAAGGAAAAGTAAAAATTTCTTGTTCATGTAAAGGAGGAACTGTTGGTTGTTGTAGGAAATTGTATCACTGTTTTATTGTATTGCGACAGTTAGCTGATTTTAACGTTCACTGATTGTAAACAAATGATTTCATATGTGTTTAACTTGGGATTTACAGAAAATCTGTGCAGTCAAATATGTCTTTTTTTTTTTTTTTTTTTTTTCATAAAAATGATATTGAATCATTTTATACTAAAAACACATTGATCTATTATATTTATACCTATTATGTACATAATAGCACTAATTATCAGATGTAATTTTGAAAATATCAACAAGTAAAGCACCTTAAAATGAAAAAAAAAGACACTTGTTATAGAAATATTAGTATTCTATATGTATTATAGAAAATACATGCAACGAATAATACCATGACCGAAAAATTAAAAAAAAAAAAAAAGCAAAAAAGCAGATAAGTATTACCTACCCCTCAGTACTTGAGAAAGCAATCCTGGCATATAACATGTAGTTAACTTTTGATTACATGATATTATAGGCATTTTCTTTAGATTTGTCCTACAAGTGGTTAAAACGACTGAACACATAATGCCTAGAAGAATAAAAAATAAACGTTTACTTACTTCTCGATCACAACACGCTTCACAAACTACGTCAAATGTAAATACCGATTTTTAATGTTTCCACCTTTTAGCCACTAGATGGCGTATCAGAGCGCTGGAATCGCGAATATTTCAATTATCTGTTGTTGAAAGTTCCTCGCTTAACGATTTAGATTTGAAAGTATTGTCAAAAATAACTAAAACTGTCTTCACAATTTTCATGATGGGACAACAGTTATCCTTGAAATTCGATTGGCTCCTTGATATCTGCTAGCACGTTTGGATGCGAATTCAAAATTCATTTGAATTCTTGTTTTTGAAATTTGGGGGAAGAATACATATGTGTACACATACTACCATTGCAAAATAATCTTTTTATACTAATTAAATTAAAAATCAATCGAATTTCTTTTCCTGAAAAATTAATTTCTTTTTCAAACATAGTATTTTAATCTCACAGTTTGGCAACACTTATATTGGTAGAAAGCTGTTTATTTTCCTATTAGTGTGGTTTCTTAAAATAAAACGAAATTGCGTTTTCATGAATAAGTTATGCTTTTGACTTTTTTTAATAACATTTTGTTTATTCACGCTTGCTTGAAGTCATTGGTAAATAATTTTCAAATAATCGAGTAAGTTTATTTCATACTTGTTTTTCATTTCTGACGTTATACTTCAAATGAATCAGCATCAAAACTATCCTTCCCTGAAGTTTCATGGGAATTTGAATACTATGAATTTAAACCCACTGCTTATATCAAATATCCAATCATCACTGTATTTTAAGAAGCATTTGATACATATTAAGGATTATTATAAAGCTGTGGATGAAATTTATTATCACGTAAAACATTTAGAACCATGGGAGAAAGGTAGCGATATTATGAATAAGACGTTCAAGGTGTATCGTGGTGTTGGAGGATGTGGAATAGTATCAACAGCATTTTGCTTGCTTTACAAACTACATAAAATGAAGCTCACTCATAAGCAAGTTGTGAAATTAATACATCACGAAGATTCACCATACATTAGAGCTTTAGGTTTTTTATATATACGATATACGCAGCCTCCTGATCGACTATGGGGTTGGTTCAAGAATTTTATATTTGATGACGAAATATTGCATGTCAAGTCCGGAAACAGAATGCCAATGTCTATTGGTAAAATTGTACAAAATCTTTTATTCGAAAAGGATTGGTTGAATGCTCTCTTACCACGAATTCCAGTATCAACCATGAATACTATTCAGCATTGCTTTTCAGACAAAGAAAAGAAACGCCATTTAAAATATCGCAAACAGAAGGGAGAAGATGTCAGCTTTAAAGAAGCACCTGAGCCTTCTACGTTCATTACGTATAAAAATAATCCAGAGTAGTGTTTCAGCTAACCAAGACTTAAGAGCTCAGTTCAAGAATAATCCAGAGTTTTGAAATCAATATAAGAACAACAACAAACAAACAAAAACTTTGAAAGATGACTAAGTTTTTCTCAGCTATTTTTTTAATATAGTGTAAATTATGCTTATTTGTATAGCTTATACTTTCTGTTTCACAAAAGTATAATGGAGCTGTACTATATTGATTTAATTTTTCATTAAACATTTCTTTTTTTCATTCAGGTTTATGATTAATTATTCTGCATCTCATTATCTGTTTATTTATTTTTAGTGAAAACAGACACTAGATATTGCCTTTTAAGCTTGCAACTGTAATATTTAAGCACGGTAATTGTAAAAATCATTTCATTTACGGCTAATGAGAAGCGAGGTACAATATAAAGTTTAAAAAATAATTAATTTAAGGATAATGCTTGTTAAGCCATTAGGATTTTTGATGCTGGAAAGGTTAAAAATATGCAGAGCCCTCGCCGGGACTCGAACCTGGACCTCTCGAATACGCGCTGAGTGTGCTACCGTTACATCACGAAGGCATGCTGGAAAGAGGGGGGAATTATACTCCCTCTTTTAAAGGGATACTGGGGCTTAGAGGACCCAATCGCTGGTGCTGAGGAATTATTGTCCACCATCTTCTAGTTCGGGTGCCACTGTAGAACCATCATATTTATTTTTTTATTATTTTATTCATTTATTTATTTTCAAACTTTTTTTTTTTTATTGAGGCAGGAGAGATGAAAAATGTGCAATGCCTTCGCCGGGACTCGATAATAGGCCTCTCGAATACGCGGCGAGTGTGCTACACCGTTACACCAATTCAGTATACATAAGAACATTGCCGACAACCATACTATCTAAGGAGACTGCCACCGTAGTCCCATGTAGTTTAGAATTGTGCGAGTTTTCGTTTTTTGAAAGTTGCACTGTAATATGCACACCATTAAAAATCCCATCTAAGCGATTTAAGTTGACTGCTTGAGATAGTAAATAATAATAATTTTATTTTCTTTCTTTCCCCTCGAAAATTGGCTGGAAACTTTCTGCAACTATGTGGAATTCGGAGTCGTCCAAAGTTCTCCAAGATCAGAAAAAGAATTAGAATGAAAAAGTTGTTCATGCTATCCTCATTAAAAACAAAAGAAAATATCTTCCTCCATCTGCAATTAAAAACAGGAAAGAAGTTTGAACTGAATGGGATGAAAATCATGAACTACGAATTCGGTGAATGTTCCTCAATTTAAGACGAAATTAAATCCGCCTAAGTTGGAAGCATAGAAATCTGTCGTTTAATATGTTTAATTTATCCCTGTTATCCGGATTAAATGAAATCGTGTTAATCGACTAATATATATTCTTAAAAATAGCATAATTGATTAAAATATTTATCACCATTTCCTTTTCTATTTCTCTTTAACAGCAGTTATAGAGAAATAATTTATTGTAGTTAGCACATTCGCTGTTGCTTAATACTTAACAAGATCATTATCGCTCAGGTATAACGGCTGCTTTTTCATCTGTAGCTGAGACCATTTGCTCACCACACCCAACCTTTACCTTTTTCATGATTTTTTCAATTGCAATTTTTATATCAAATTTCTTCCAGAACTGGACGTATGAATTATTCAAAAATCAGGTTTTGATAATAGCGAATGAAGTTACAAAATCGATGCCATGTTAAGATTTTTGCCGCCCAGGGCGGTTTTGAATTTGCCGCCTGGAGTGGTGTCCGAATATGCCGCCCCTATTGATATACAAATAAATAACTACAAAAAAAAATGTCAATGAGATTTTTATTTTAGAACAAACTGCAAAAATTTGAAAGGACGGCTCTGCCTCGTTTCTGTTTCGATTGCTTGAACAGTAACAGAAATAAGACTTTTAAATATTTCTTTCTTAACGAGGAATTCCTAATTATTATTGTCACCGTGATCATAATTTAGCTGATATTCGAAATTTGCTTTCAAAGGTTTCCAAACATTAAAAAAAGATATAACAAGAGTATATAGCTGTTGATATCATGTAGTGATTTTGAATACATTATCTAGAATAAAAACTCTTTTTCTTCTCAATTCAATTCCGTATGGAATTTAGAATCCAATTATTCTTCACCTGCCCCAATGATCTACTTGACTAATTCCTATAAATAACACTGAAAAAAAAGCCGCCACTGCTTACTACTGTGCCACTGCTGCTGAGTTGTCTGTGATTTATTTAACGAAGATATACCAGCGAATCCTTGAAATCAAGCCAATGGTAAAAAAGGTATTGCCAGGACCTTTTTAAATAAACTTATTGTGTAAGTACAAAGAGGTTGAAATTAATAAATTGTGTTCATGTGAAATATTTCTAATAGAAACATGTTAAGGGACGGATTAAATTTTTTCTTGTATATCCAGTCTACCTACATCACTGCCTGTTTTGTAGTTAACGTAAAATCTTCTGTCAGTCTTAGAGACGTCAAATGTCAGCAAAAAGACCAAATGTGTAATAAGTATTGTGCAAAACCCTGCATTCTCATTCTCTACTGATGGAAGCAATGCCCGAAAATTGTATCCAGTTGTTACAATTATAAGAAAAGGGACGAACAAAGCGTATTGTTTTGTGTCTTCTTGGTGACACAAATGGTCAGAATATTTCAATAACGATTATTAATAAATTAAGTATTCCTAAATTAAATTGGGTTTCATTTGTGCAAATAATGCACCTGTTATGACTGGTTATCGAAAGGGTATTGCAACCTTCCCGAAAAATATCAAAAAGAGTTAATCATTATGAGTTGCTTAATAAATTTAGTAGCAGGAAAAGCAGCTGCTGCATTAACCAGTAAAGAGAGATTAAGTTTTAGTGAATGCATTCCACGACTTTTCTTATAAATTTAGTAGCAGGAAAAGCAGCTGCTGCATTAACCAGTAAAGAGAGATTAAGTTTTAGTGAATGCATTCCACGACTTTTCTTAAATCTTTTTAGTGGTCAGCATCCCCTTCAATCTGAAAATATACTCTCACACACCTTTAAAAAATGTCTGTATATTTTTTATTTAAGAATAAACATTTATTGCATAACAAATACCGTGTTTATTTAAAATATATATTACTATTTTATACATAAAAAGAAATATTTATAGTTTAATGGCTAGGTTGTTGTTGTTTACTCATAATAATTCTATTAAAACAATGCTCTTTTTTTTAACCCTTTGCAGCACAGTGCGTCTGGTCTGGACACACCTAAAAATTTCCTTCTGTACGCACAGAAAAATTTAATTAAAAAAGATTTATAGGTTACTCTGAACCTTCTTTATTTATAGTAGATGGCAGCTCAACACAAACCAGTCCATATATTTTAGCCATGTTTAGTTTTTTTAAGAACCTTATTTTTCAAAGAAATCTTCCAGATTTTTTTAGGGTATAAAAGGAATTGTTTGAAAAGAAATTTCTGTTTTATTTTTTAGCTGTATGCTAATCTCCTTATTCTGTATTAGTTTTAAATTTTTACCTTGAAATCTTGCCTAAAATCAAACGGCGAACCCTAGGTGTGGCCAGACCGGACTCACCGATAATCTAGGACAACTGAGAGTCTGTATTCTTTGTTTCTCCGCATCTCATCGGTCAGTTCATTGACAACAATGCTCGTTTCAGCACTTTATTCGAAGCTCTATTCAATTCCCACAAAATTAAAAGATAAGTGCTATCTTCACAAAATTTTACTTGTGTACTCCTCTAGGAATAATTAGACTGCTACCTTTTTTTTTAATCAAAACTCCAACTTTAAAAGGTAGCGTGCCGGAAAGGGTTAAAGAGCCATGTGTAAGTGGTATGCATTTAAGCGATTTCTGGCTTTTGTTTTGATGGTGGTGGAATTAGGTGCTGGAAATGACAGACAGACAAAGTAGACAGATGTCTTTTGTTGCACCCGCTAAGTCTTTCCGCACCGATGGGCGAAAAATCAAGCATAGGTGCGAAGGAAAGGTATATAGAAAGGGGGGGGGCAATTTCGTATTTCAGAGGAGAGTAAAAAGGAACTTCGTATCTAGTTAAAAGTGTCTCTAATGCTGCTTTTGCCGGTTGTGGATAAGCTTCTGACGGTTTATACTAGAACTGTTCTAGGTCTGATTTTTCAAATTTCATTTCCATACACACACATTAGCTCGTATTTCGATAAGATCTTTTAAAAAGTGGTTGTTAGCCATTGAACTTAATCAAACAAAAATGGATTGAGTATCCATGTATTCATTTTGCTAATATTTCCCGTGGAAAAGCAACATGAATTGTTTCACTCAGTTGATGGAGGTGTATTATAATTTCTGGTATAATTATTATTTTTTCGTTTTCCAAAACGGCTGAATCTAGCAAATGGAAGTTTGCTAAATTCTCATGTTCAACTCGACGTCTCCAAAGTTTTAATTTTTCAATAAATAGAGCTATTTTTTCACTAGCTGTTATTATGTTCTTGCCAAATCCTTGACCCATTGAAGTCCTTATTTCATTCATGTGGTTAACTACACCGTGTTTCAAAAAGAATATACGTATTACAAAGTGTTATTTTGTCCAAACTATCGATCACTGCGCCTCGGCTCGGCTATTGGCGAAACGAATACAGAGTCTAGTTTACATCCAGGGGGGGGGCCCACGAGCGATGCGTAGAGCAGGGAGAAAATTTTGCCACCTGCGCATGACGTCATGTGGGTGACAGTCGTTAGTTCTCGGCGTTTGTTTACATTCGTTGCATTTGATCTGTGATACATTTGATTTGTGTTGTTAATTTGCTTTTATAAGTAGTCGGAAATGGCAAGTTGTGCTATAGCGTTGTGTCAGAATTATAGAAGGAAAACTAAAAGTCAAGGCATCACATACCATCGTTTTCCAAGTGATCCAGAACTTCGTAAGTTATGGACTAATCGCTGCAAAAGAGCAGATAATTTCAACATCGAAAATGCCAGAGTATGTGCTCTTCATTTTACACCTGATGACTACGTACGAGATCTAAAGGCAGAATTGCTTGGTTCAACTCCTAAAAGGGTGCTGAAAGCCAATGCTGTTCCCACTTTACATCTTCCGTCATCATCATGTGAAAATAACTCATCAATAAAGTATATATGTTGTGCTTCAAAAACTGAACCTAATCTGGAGAGAACGTTTTCTAACAGGAATGAGTCATCTAAATTTATGCTAAAAAGGGATAGAGCAAGCAGGTGTCAGGCTCGGGGAACAAGGAAACGAGCATTGGAAAATTTAGCTTCCCTTTCCCCCAAAAAGAAAAAACTACAAGCTGATAAGATAGACTGTGCAACTCAGTTTACATCCAGTGACACATCTCATTTAGTTGAGCGTGTGCAAATCTTAGAAAAGGAAAATAAGAGATTAAATGTGTTGTGCAGTCAATTGAAAATGCAAAAGAAAATTATTTTTACTGAACTTACTGCTTCTCGTAGAAAATTGCGTAGCTATCAGAAAATGAGCAGGAAAGTAACAAGCAAACAAGTACATAGTGCAGTTAAAAAAATTTTAGGGACAATTTTTACGGACAATCAAATTCGCTTTCTCATGTCAAATAAAAAATATGTTAAGTGGAATGCAGATGACATTTGCAAATCTGCAACACTTAGGGCAGTATCCAAAAGATGCTATAACTATCTCAGACAAAAAATGGGATTTCCATTTCCTAGCATTTCGACTTTGAAGAGATGGGTATTTTGTTCATTTCGCTGTTCTCCTGGTTTGCTACACACGATGTAATTCATGTTATGCGTGCTGGGGCATTACAGATGACAGACAAGAATGTATGTGTGTTCTTTCATTCGATGAAATGAACGTGGATAGTAGAATCTGTTATGACCAAGCAGAAGATAAGATTGTTGGCCCACATAGAAATGTTCAAGTAGTAATGGTGCGAGGACTTCTTGCAAGCTGGAAGCAGCCAATATATTTCGACTTTGATACGCAAATGACGGCAGAAATATTGAAAGATATAATAATAACATTAGCAGAAATTGGATATTATGTAGTTGCAGCTGTAGCTGACTTGGGTGGTAGAAATCGTGCTGTGTGGACAAAACTTCAGATTACTCATCTGAACAGCAGCTTTTCACATCCCCAGGACTCTAGTAAACGTGTGTGGGTGTTTGCTGATGTGCCACACCTTTTGAAACTTCTTCGTAATCACTTTTTGGATGACGGATTAATGCTTCCGGGAAATAAATTAATTACAAAAGAACCTATCGAAAGATTGATATCGATGGATTGCAAAGAAGTGAAAATTTGCCCAAAGTTGTCCGTAAGTCACATTTCTGTTAAAGGTAATGAACGCCAGCGTGTGCATTTAGCTGCGCAGTTATTTTCAAACCATACTGCACAAGGTATCCGCTATCTTATACCAGAAGAAGAGGAAACTGCAATTTTTTTTTTGAATTAGCGAATAATTCATTTGATATTCTTAACTCCAGGAAACCTGTCTCTGATACAGTGTTATCTTGTGCGTATGGGATACATGAAGAAATCCAGGAGAGAACCTTAAAGAAATTTTATGTTTTTTGTGAAGACATGAGAGTGGGCAAGGCAAAGCACCTATTACCATTTCAGAAAGGATTTATGATGTCGATTACATCACTGCTGGGGTTATTTTCTGATTTGAAACAATTAGGAGTTAAATACCTTTTAACTTCCAGACTAAATCAAGATTGCCTGGAAAATTTTTTTTTCCCGAATCCGCGGTCTTGGCCATTTCTATGATCATCCACTGCCCGTAGACGTGAAGTATCGAATGCGTCTTTTATTGTTAACTAATAATTCCTACCAGATTTCACTTTCTAACACATCTTCTGTTGCTCCTGATGAGGAGGAAGATGCATACATTACTTCCAACTTTTTTGGTAATATTTTACCTGACATGACTGAAGCTCTGAAGATGTTAGACGGTGAAACTGAGATGAGGGATATTGTTTTTGATAATTCTAGATTGACCCTTGCAAGTGAACCTGCAGCTGACTGCTCTGTAGAGGGTTTTCGGTACCTTGCAGGCTACATAGCCTACCGTGGAAGAAAATATGACCATTCTTTGGGAACACCTACAGAACAATTGCTCCATCTGCCTTCAGATGAACACGTTGGTTGGATAGAAACGCTTTCTCGTGGTGGTTTACTTGTTCCATCTGAGGAATGGTTAAAAAAAATAAGTCAATTTGAAGTAGTGTTTGTAAGTGAACATGGGAAAGATGGTCTTTCAAGAAATAATAACATTATGCAAACTATGTGTAAAAAAATTGCACAAAAGTTTCCTGATGTGCATAATGAAATCATTAAAATATATGTTAAGACACGAACATTTATACGCTTGAGGTATTTGAATACAGAAATGAAAAAGAAGAAAAGAAATAAGGCTGATATGAAAAAGGCACAGAAGTGGATTGCATCATCTTTATAACTCCTCCTCATATTACATCCTACTCATATATGAAGATACTTTTCAATAGCAGCCAGGACAGCGATTGATGATGATGAAGAAGTTCAAAATGTTAATGAAAATGAGTGTAAAAAATCATTGCCAGTTAAGTCAAATGCATATGATTCTTTACTACACAGTGTCGAGTTTGAAGATAGTGTACCAGAAAACATTTCCCATGCATTTACAAAGATGTGAGGCTTCTTATGACATGATCCCAACAATCAAAACAAGCTTTCGTGTTTTAGGGAAAGTATTCTGCCACTGCAAATATCCTCTTCGCAAACATTTCACATTGGCAAATTTAATAATATTTTGTCAAACAATTTTTGGCATTTTAAAGAAAGAAACTTGCTTTAGAAGACTGTGTTGTAAAATTTATAAGTGAATACCATTAACATTAAGTACAAGATGTCTGAAATGGAACTGTAATGCTACCAGATTAGAAACCATCATTTACTTCCAGATATGTTACAAAAAGGGAGCTACAGAATGTCAACAAAACATGCATACAACTTTAGGTACTAATGTTGCATCATATGAGACTGTGAATGTTTGATATTGAAAGTTCAAAAACAAGGGCTATGGCTCAAACAAGGACTCAAAACAAGGATTACTAATATTTTCTCAAACAATTTTTGGCAAAGAAAGAGATTTGCTTTAGAACAGTGTGTTGTGAATTGTATTAAAATATCATTGTGTACAAGGTATCAGAAAGAGAACTATCACACTACCGGATTAGAACCACCACTTACTTCCAGATATGTAGCAAAAAGTAAGCTACAGAATGTCAACAAATCATATGTACAGCTTTAGGTACTAATGTTATATCATATGACACTGTGAAGGTTTGGTACCGAAAATTCAAAAATAAGGACTATTACACTCAAGAAGCATAGTACTAGAAAATAGTGTACCAAAAAACATTTTCTATGCATTACAAAGATGTGAGACTTCTTACGACGACATGAAATGTCTTTCCCAACAATCAAAACAAGCTTTCGTGTTTTAATGAAAGTATCCTACCACTGCAAAAATCTTCTTCTTCGCAAACATGTCACATTGACATATTTAATCATATTTTGTCAAACAATTTTGGTGTTTGAAAGAAACTTGCTTTAAAACACTGTGTTGTGAAATGTGTAAAAGAAATATCATTTATCATTGAGTACAAGGTGTCTGAAATGAAACTATTTCTACTATAGTTGTGTTACAAAAAGTCAGCTACAGTATGTCACCAAATCATGTGTACAACTTTAGGTACTACTGTTATGTCATATGAAACTGTGAGAGTTTTGTATTGTGAAATGTATAAAACAAATATGTTATCGAATACAAGGTGTCTGAAATGAAACTATTTCTACTACAGATTAGAATCATCTACTTAACTACTCCAAAATAGAATCATTTACTTAACTACTACATCTATTTTAACTACTACAGAATAGAATCATCATTTACTTCCATTTGTGTTGCAAAAAGTCAGTTACAGAATGTCACCAAATCGCGTGTAAAACTTTAGGTATTAATGTAATGTCATATGAAACTGTGAAGGTTTAGTACCGAAAATGCAAAAACAAGGATTATGACATTCAAGGAGCAGAGAACCAGAAAATATTTTTCATGCATTAAAAAGATGTGTGTTTTCTTATGACATGAAATGTCTTTCCCAACAATTAAAGTAAGCTTTCGAGTTTTAATGAAAGTATCCTGCCACTTCAAATATCCTCTTCGCGAAATTTCACATTGGCATATTTAATCATATTCCGTATATAGGATTAAAGAAAGATTTGAAATTCGAATCATATTTTGTATATATGATTAAAGATTATGCATTTTAAAGAAAGAAACGTGCTTTAGAACACTGTATTGCAAAATGTATTTGAAAAAGAGAGACTTGCTTTAGAACGGTGTGCTCTTAAATTTATAAAAAAATACCATTAAGTACAAGGTGTGTGAAATGGAACTATCACACTACCAGATTAGAACTATAATTTTCTTCCAGTTCTTTTGCAAAAAGTCAGCTACAAAATTTCGCCAAATCATGTGTACAACTTTATGTGCTAATGTTATATCAAATGACACTGAAGGTTTGGTACCTAAAGTTCAAAAACAAGGCTTATGATACTGAAGAAGCAGATCACTCTGGCCAACCTACTGATGTTGATGAGGCCCACCTACGAGAACTTGTTGAATATCAATATGTAACCACTCAAGGGCTTGCGTATGGTCTCGAGAGAGTGAAAGCTGAAGAGTTAGACATTAGTGCCATGTCCATTAGTTGCGCTGAGTATCTCGTAGATTTGACGCACAAGTTCAATTACTGGGTACTGCATGAGATTACTTAATCACACCTGCCTGCAGCCACATCTTGCTGGTGCTATCTTCCATTCTGCGCAGGATGTCCAAAATGTAGTTGATCTGCTTTTGAACTCGTGGCCACCAAGTTTATGTGTCGATGATTTTGAAAAACTACCAAAATGTTGACAGAAAATCATAGATTTGTCTGGTGATTTGTACCCGTGCTATATATACTACCTTCATGTTGTTGTTTTTTTCTAGTTTTATGAAGAACGTTTTTGGTGGAAAACTTTCTTTACAACCAGATAAAATAACTGACTATTTTTTAAATGAATTTATGTAGTTTTCATACATAACTTTTATGTAATTTTACATTTATTTTTCATTTTACTTCTATTTTAATTTTTTATCATAATTTTCCTTTTATGAAGTAGACTTATAGCGAGATATTTAATCTCAATGTCGTGTTTACCAATAGTGACTACCTGAATGATTAGTTGATAAATTTGCTTATCTAAGTTAATTCACATGCTTTGGTTACTTTCTTTACATCCCAAAAGTAATTCTATGTATTGAAGCAATGTCTGGGTTAAGCATTGAGACATAGTAAACTGATACATGCTTCAGAAGAAAGAACAATTTATCGGCCACACTATGATGCAAACATCGATGAGCGAGCGACATATTTCCTTCAATGTTGTTTAACTGATGCATATGCCTGATGTAATTTAATTGATATAACTAAGTGAACTTACACATACCTGACCCTGAAGGAAAACAAATCTGTGTATAATGCTGGAATACAAATAGCGAAAGAGTAAGTAAGATATTCTGTTCAGTGTTATTTAACTGCTGCATATGTTTTAATTTTGATTCCATATAACTAGTTTTTAATTATAAGAGAAAGAAAAATAATTCAATATTGAACACATATTTTGAGTATAACAAAAGTATTTTAAGAAACAACCTGTTAAAAATACATTAGTCATTAAAAATATTTAATTTGTGTACAGGCTGAATTAAAACTAACATGTGGTGGTGTATTTAATTATGGCAAAGCACACTAGGGCTATCTGCGTAATAGGTGTGATGCCTTCGTGGAGGACTTTCTCAGGGAAACTGGCTCGTATACACACTAAGGTGTAGGGCAAGTTTATTATTGTGCGTATATGTGTAAGAAAATGTATTTTAATTGTTCCATTTTTATTGTATGGAAGGAAGAATAGGATGCCAATATCGAAGATTATTTACCATAGCAAATAATCACGGTCAGGATAAATGTTATATAGAAATCTTGGGAGTGTAAGGGATTATAAGAGTACTTTTAGATTATACTGAAAATATATGCACTTCTGCTAAAATCTGAAGTGAATCAGTATGAAGTGACTTTAAAAATAATGTGATAAGTATACTATTTAAAAGTATAAATGACGAATATTAAGAAATTTGTAGAATTTTATGGTATTTAAATATGAATTTGTTATGTCAAATCTTTTTATATATATTTTTGCTTGAGATATGTAAATTAAACTGAAAATCACGATCATATATTTCTCATGGAATGTCAAAGTTCATTTGTATTAAAAAAAAATGCATGAGCAATGAAATTAAATAGAATAATACTTTTTGATTATGTTTTTACCATGGTCTTAGGAATTATGCCATCATGTGTTCTGTTCAACAAAATTTCTTTAGTGCAAACAATACTACGAAAAATATTGAAAAATAGCTTGTTTTACAATATTTATTTCCCTCAATTAACTTAAATATCGTTTTTTCATTTCCTAATGCTTTCCTTTATGATAAGAATTTAATGTTTACAATTATTTTCAGCATTCGTACGAATTCTGTGCATAAAATAAACATTGCTTTAACAAAATACTTTATCGGAAAGTATATACCCGGTATTTCCGGTGTATCTACCACATTTAAAATGATTATTTTGCTTTAGTTTACATTACTTCCATTACGAAAATCATGTAGCAGACGCGTCGGCCGATGCGTCTTGTCTCCCGGGTGACGTCACTACCAGCAACCAATGGCACGCTTTTTCCGTTCCTGGCCTAACCTTAGTATATTAAAGAACCTTGGTTTACATCAATAGCCGCTGGATGTCAGTTGTCTTCCGTTTTGCGTGGTAAAAGTCACATGTTTAAAATGGCTACTCCGAAGCAGAAATCATTTTTGTGTTCTCGAGTTTTACACTCTGTGACTTCTTCCCGTGGGGTTTCATCAAAGACAACGTTTATGTACCACCACTCCCACAGAACCTGGAAGAGCTGAAGAACCGGATCCGTACTGTCATAACATCAGTGACGACGGACATGCTTACCCGAGTATGGGAGGAATTTGAGTATGATGTGATATTGTTCGTGTCGCTGATGGAGGACGTATTGTACGTCTGTAATCTGACCTTGAGAGGTTCGTACATATGAGTGTAAAGTTTCATATTCGTATGTCATACAGTTTAATAAATATATGCATTCGAAATACGTATATTCGTTTTTGAAACACGATGAATATCTGCTAGGTAGGCTAGCTGAAGCAATGCGTCTCTATTTCCAAAAACTTCCACTAAACACTATTTTGGTTAATAAGAAACTGTATAATATCTTCGCGCAATTGAAAAACCCTGGTCAGCATGCGGCCCTTGGATGTCCGTATGATAAAGAAGCACAGTATGAACAGCAGATTTCTTCGCACAAAGCACAAAATATACGTTGATTAAGCGCTCATCCTTGGATGTACTTAACTCCTTTCACTGCCGTACTTAGACATTGTTTCAAATTCTCTGACAAAGTTTTCGATGGAAGTGCATGACTATGCATTTTTGAGGTCCGAGCACACTAGAAAGTAAGCAAAGTTAATTTCAAGTTCATGATACAGCGAAAATACGAGAAATTTATAAGTCCATTTCTATCATCTGCTCGACCATTCCCAGGGCAAGTAAAACTTTATCCTGCGGAGATTCTATTTTCTTACATTTTTTCACAAATTCAAGGAACTTGACAGCAATCATCTGTAAGTTTTTATCCATCGCGAAATCCAATTTAGCTGGAGTGCTAGCATCTGAGTGGGATTTTGATGGCATACTGCTATCTTTCCGGATTAGTCTTTCAGTCAGCGAAGGCAAATTCTCTGTCTGCGGCTTCCGCGCTCAGAGATTGTAAAAAAGGTTAGCTTTAAATATGTTCTTGGCCCATAGATGGCGCCACTGTTTTTATATTCTTCTAACTGTGCCTCCAATAAACTTGTGTTAACCAAGGTTGTTGTGTTTATTATTCTCTGCATGCAAGTAACCACCAAAGCTGTTTCAAAAGAAGCGTCGTCACTCCCCTAATACTAGCTGCCGCCAGATAGGTTGACTGCAGCGGTTGCGCTGTGAGTTGAAACCCTTCCCACGTCTTTTCCTCCCCCCCCGTCACTCGTAAACAGAACTGCAATTGCAACTTGATCGTTTTAGCACCGCTATTATAAGGAAACTTCTGGTTTTGTTTAAAAATTTAGTTTATTTAAAGTTAAACATTTAAATTGCAAATTACGTCGTTTTGGTTGAAAAAAATCCAGTAATATAAAAAATTTATAAAAATAATATAATTTAAAAAGAAGGTAAAATAAGAAAATAATATAATTTAAAAAGAAGGTAAAATAAGAATAAAATAAATTTCTAAATATTCAAATATTCTTACTTTGCATCAGATGATTTTTTTATAATAATGATGTAACAACTACATATGTATATAATTTATTTTACAGCAAAAAATTTATAGAACCAATGTTTTTATATATGAGTAATTTTATTAAATAATTTCAAGAAACAGGCAATGAGTAGAAAATACTAAAAATTTTATTATTACTAGTAATAATACAAATAAAACTAACAAAATGTACTTAAAATTCTTTTACACCAAACTACAGTCTTTTTTTAAATAAAATATTAATGTATACATACAGTCAGAAAAACTGTTGATTTTAATACAAATAAATATTATTTTTGGATTTATTGCTAGATGATAATAACCTGGCTTGAAAACCAACTTACTTAACTCTTTATATCACCACACAAAATTGTAGCCATAACACCTTTAATTTTTTAAAAAACAAATGAGGAATTAACATAAAATAATTATGAAGCATTACTACACTTTTCAGCAACTTCTTGATTAGATGTTCCAGACAGTGGCGTAAATAGAACTCTTGGGCCCCTATGCAAAAACATTTCCTGGGCCGCCTCTCCCAATAAATTTAATGTGCTTAAAAATAAAATAATATCAAGGATTCCTGAAGCCAATGTTTTCATGATGATTTTTATCACATCTGGATTAATTGTTAAAAAATAAAAGCACCTTCTTAGGGAACCAGTTAAAAGGTACATGAAGAAAGAATAAAAAGGAAAATATTTTCCCTTAACCAGCTGTTGAAATGCAAATTTGCTTTGGTCTCGGTATTTGACGCTAGATGATTTTAATTATTTAAGACTTTAATTTAGCAAACTTATAAATAATTAGTTATATTATAAACTGACAAACAAAATAATTGATAAATGTACAGAAAAGATATTACATTAATATATAGTACTCTGTGATTCACTCAGCTTACGAACATGATTTATGAAATAATATACAAGTAATAAATAAGAATTTTTATAATGTAAATGATACATTTGTTAAATATAAAACATATTTATCATAAACTTCATAAATAAAACTATTTGAATATATAATTTTTGTAGAAAATATGTATGGTAAAGTTTTTTTCTGTCCTTTTAAAAAAACTTTCAGTACACTCAACTACTTGAATACATTATTTTTATAAAAAAATATGAATGCTAAAGTTTTTTTTCTGTTTCCTTTTAATTTTCCTCATCCTGTACTGCTTGCTCTTCATCTCTAATTCCTCCCCGTCTCAATAAGTGTAATTATAACGCTGGCGGTCAAAATTCATCATAAAGACAAAAATCTACTAAAATTTGTGTCTAACCTTCATTTCTGCAAAATTATTTATCAATACTTGAACATCCATTTCAGCTTCAACGCTCAATAGTGATAGATTTATTAACACCCAATCTTGTGTCATAGTGTTTCTTGAATATATTTTTATTATTGAAAATGACCTTAGTGAATCTTTACTTCATGGTAACTCGGCGATTTTTTGGCGACCAATCCTGCGAGTTTGTTTTTCGACGCCATTTTGTTTTAACGAAGCAAAGGCATTTTTTTTTTTAAATTTTAACTTGGTATCCATGTACACAATGACCTATTTTCACTTCAAAAAAATCAGAGAATTGCACAAACTTGGCATTGCACATTCCCTTCACTTTAACCATGTACACATCAACCTGTTTTCACTTAACAAACACATAAATACTTGTTTTGGAAACAAGGAAACAAGTATAAAGTTTCTTCATAATTAGTTAAAATAAAGTTGTATAAAACAAGTTTTGGATCAAAAAGCAAAAATCAGTTAGGAAAAGTGGATATATTTTAGGAGCATTAATATTTACGATCATTGCTGTTTTATTTGCATCTTGGAAAGCTATTTATGTCTCAGAAATTAATGATCTCAGATTTCCTGTCTTTACACTGCTTATAAATTAAGAAGTATCAATTTTTTATCTTAATCAATAATTATTATTATTTTCTTATATAAACAAAGTTGAGAAGTGGAAACATAAGCTGCTTCACTTTTATATCTCTGTTAAAAATTCAAAGTTTTGTAAATGTATATGTAACAAATATTTTCAATAATGCATTAAAACACTTAAAAAATAAATAACAAAATAATTGCCACCATAAAATACTGAAACAAGCATGAATACCAAAGTGATAATTAGATGTCATGCCATAATCGGTTCAAATGATTTGTATTGACACACAATTCACTTTGGAAATAAGAAAGCCCATTTTTGAAAAGATGTTTGGAAACTCATAAGAAATTACCTTCTGCAAATTTACCTTAAAATGGACATAATTCAATGCTGTACACATTAGAGCAATTTAGAATATCCAAAGTGAAAATGGAAAAAACAATATTTTCATTTCCATTTACGAAATAACAAGTTGAACATTATTTCAAAATAACATTTACGAAATAACTGTTGACAAGTTAATAATTAATTTATTTTTTATTTTTATCAATACATTAAATTACGTTGTTTGCAATATAGAGCATAAAAAATGACAGCTTTACAATATGAATAATAAAATAGTATAATGGTTTAAGCAGTAGGTTAAATGAAAAGAAATATCCATGAGGAATATGCACACAATGTTTACAACAGAAAGAATATATATTTCACACATTATTGTAGCATACTAACCATGAATACATAATAATATGAAAAAAAAAAACCCTCAGCAATTCACACAAAGTAGCACATACACACCCTTTGCTTTTAATTTAGTTAATTACATTTCTATTAATGTTTCCCCTTTTGTAGTTTTTTCAGATCTGTGTTATATTTACTAATTTTTCTATTTTTTTTTTTTCCCGAAGATGAATTTTTAAAAAAAAAAGCAGAGGCAAAAGATACAATCTTCTTTTTAACATCATTTGAATGAAGTTCACAGCACAAAAACTGAAACACTGGTAACTGTGATAACACATTTTTCAGATTTTGCAAAATGTTACATATTGGCAAGTGGTGGGAGAAAAAATTATTTGCTTTCTGAAGAAGTTCAGCAATGCATTTTGTCATGCTTTCTGACGGATGTGTCAATCCTCAACCCTCCTTCCGTTATATCCTGATTTTTATATTCTTTAAGGTATAAAAATAGAGTATGCTGCAGCATTGGCTTTGTTCTGTCTGTCAGTGAAATACTGCATATATCACACTCATTAAGATTCAAGGAATATAATACCTTTCTGGATAAATATCCACTCAGATAAGCAACAACATTTTGTGACAAATTATCAAGTCTTTCAAAACATGCATCCTGACAAGGGGAATCAAAATCAATGACAAGAGAGTCATCAAAATCATCATTACTTGTAATTTGTCCTTCTTTCACCTCCTCCTTCTGTACTTCATTTTCCTCAATTGTAGTTGATGGTACTGCAGACAAAATGAAAAACATAAATTTATCCCCATCTGGCTCACAATTTGAAAACTTATTTGTGTTACGGAAAGAATTTACACATGCAATCTTGAAAAGTGAAGAAAATTCATAAGCAGATGGATTTGTGCGATTGCCCCCACTCCCTCGGATACGACTGAAAAAATTTTCAAGACAATCCTGATTGCACCTCTTTGTCATAAAATATTCCCGTTCATGTAACATTTCTTCAGAAAGTTTTAGTATTGCTCTGAGAGTTTGCAACCAGCCTATTCTGCTACGTGGTCCTGAAGCATGCTTTCTTGGACCATCTTGGTTTTGTGCAAGCGGTTGCAAAAAAAAACCCATGATTCAACATATGCTATCATCTCTTTCCAAAAATTAATATGTGCAGAACCTTCTTTCACTGCACAATGGAGCTGTTTTCCTCTTAAAGGATTCTTTCGAGTTCCATTCATGGAGTCAAACAAATTGTCAATCTTTAGAATGAACTCTACTGTTGGAGCAGCACTTGCTTCTATCAGTCCAGTCCAGACAAAATACACAGGTTCATTCCTGCTGCTACTGTGTGGCTGAACACTTGTGCAGCAAGAGCAACTTTCATGGAGTTTAATCCCATTGTATTTAAGTGTGCATCAGTCATTTTCGGTGCACAGCGGATAAGCAGTGTTTTATCTACTTCATGGAAGTCTCGAATGTATTTGAAAGATACGAATCCTTTACTTGTCTGCAGGTCATACTTCATAAGATTCCTCCTCAAATTTTTCAAAAGATGTGGTGGATCAAACAAACAATAAATAGTCTGTCCATTAAAATCAAAGAATGGTTTAAGAGAATCCACTCCTAAAATTCTAAACAACCTACTATTATTTCCCCCCTGGTCACAAACCAGAGCTTTAACTACGGCATTAGCATCCGATAATTTTGTTAAAGCTTCTGTGAGTATTTCTCTCAGTCTTTCTGCATTTATTGCATGGTTGGAGAAGTAAAATCCAAGTGGAAGTTTCTTCTTGCTGGTTAAACTTCTCAGCATTAATACTAGTACATGATTTGCAATTGAATCACTGGGAAAACCACCTAAGTCCTCAAATCCAACTATGCGATCATTTTGTTTATCATGCACTAGACAGGGTTTCAATGACATCTCATCAAAGATCAATGCAAACATTCTTTCGTGATTTTCCTTATTTTGTAAAACTTGTTTTAGTGCTGATATGATATCTGCACTGATTCCTGTACATGACAATTTTGATGAGACAAAACGTTGAAGAGTTCGTTCAGCTGGAAGTTCAAGGAACTCTTTCAAAACACGATAAGCTGCTGCCCGACTTTTGCTGTAGATGCGGTAGGCATCGATTTTATCTGAATGCGTAAAACGTCTCTTTTTTGTTTTCTGGGTATTCAATGTTACCTGGCGTTGAATAAAAGAAGATAATTTTTTACTAACTCCTTGACTGGAAAGGGTTTTTTCAAGAGAATGAGCTGTAGAAAATTTCTTCTTAGACGACACAAATTTTAATTTCAGCCGTCTTGCCATGTCACGATATTTTTTAACTTTTTTTTGACAATTGTGATTTTCTGGGTGTGTATTTTTTTCCCAGAATAATGTGACTTTGGTGTGCTACAGCTCACTGGTGCTGAAAATGACTGCTGTGGAATGAGAGACATTAAAGATGCGTTACAAGTTGAAAGTTCAGTGGAGCAGACATTTTGATAAAGATTATTGGGTCCTTGAACATTGGATATTAATTCCTGTTGAAAATCTGACTGATGATGTTCAGAACTTGGCACTGTGATATGATTTATCTCGGGCATTTTATCTCGAACTGAACCATTTGTCACAGAATTTGGCACTTTGGCACTGTCATGTGACTTAACTCAGGCACTTTATCTGGAACCAAACCCTTTGTCACCTGGAGTTTTGTAGAACATGGTACTGCATTGTGTACTAAACGATGTTTAGTAGTGATATTAACGAAGCACCAGTCTTCAAAATGTACCATACATAGATAGGCTCTTTTGTGTAGGTCAGAGGCAGGAACACCCACAAGCTTTTCATTCTGCGAAGCCTTGACCCAAGCTTGACATCTAAAACAAAAAAAGATGGAAAATAAATAACTATACATACATAACTGCATTAGTTTAATGTATAATATAAATTGCATTAATTTAGTGTTCTGGAGATAACCCTAATACTGCCCCCTCTCCATGAAGCAATTTTACTTTTTTAAGCATCTATGAAACACCAGCATACTTTTAAATAACAGATAATGAAATATTGATTAATGTGAATTATCCCTCTTCCCTACATTTAAATTGAAGCCTGTATTTCCTGAAAAGATGAAAGCAAAACTAGTGTCTTCATTGAGCAATTTATTATAGGTTTGCCCCCAATCCTCTCCATGAAAATGTCATACGGACTAATACGATTTTTTTTTTTCTCATATCAAATAACAAAAATGAATAGAAAAAATAAATTTGACAATATTTTTTTTCAATCTAAGGGGACCAACCAAAACAGCAAATTTCATGGCCCACGGGAATCATCACGTTCACACAGTAAGAGTCATTTACTTTTTATCACTTCACTTGGATAAAACAACTTCATTATTCTATTGATACCCATTCTCCAATTACGTAATCGTTTACCTGTAATTTGGACATCCATATTTTTGTTTACTATTGTAAACAGTGCATTTTGCCTACACCTTTATAATTGGTAAACTATTCCTAAAAATAGATTTACAAACTAAAAGCATGTTCTTTTATCAATCATTTCACCTTAACAATCAAAGATCATTTTTTTTTTTTATTATTATAATTCACGCCAGTAGCTTAGTCTAGCATGCAGTTAATGTAAAAGTACTGTAATGTGTTTTGTTTCAAACATTTCTCTCTTAACACTTTTTGATTATCCAGATCACAAACAAAAGCAATACATTAACAACTTTTAAGTTGCTTCAAAAATAACACCATTACTTTTAACAGGGTTAGGTGGCTATAATGTGCCAAACCTAAAGGAACTGTAATATAAATAACTCTGGATGTGCAATATTGCGGGAAGAAAAGGTCTAAGCTTCACTTTTTTTGTTTCTGAACCGGCAAATAAACGCCAAACAAATAAATGGGCGATTCTGCACTTTAGCCGAATTTTTAAATATCAATTTTTGTTTCCGAGTTTGAGGTACTTTATAAATTTTTCAGCAAAAGTTCAGGATGAGATACAAATAAATTACATTTAACGAAATAATTTTTTATGACAAAAGTGGAAAGAAATCATAAAATAATTTAGTACTAACCTTTGTTCTTCCTTGGGAAATCTGTAGAAATGTATTCCATCACTTTTTGATTCAATCTTTCTATTACAGCCTTTAAATCTGCAGTAGCGATAAGCCATTATGTCAGAAAAATGAAAATAATAATGAAATTGGGTCTGAAAAGATCCGTTTGATAGAAACTGCAAAGAAAAATGTACGTGAGTCAAATCAATGCAGGAGCTCTTGAAACCAGCATGGGCATTACGTTCAAAAACAACTGTAAATGGGGAGCATGCGCAGTTCAATTAATTGTGTTTCCACAGCGCAACCACCAGGAGCGCTGCGATCGCGACAAAGCGCAGGTTCGTCCATTGAGCTGACGACGCTTTATTATATATACAGCTTTGACCACTCTCTATAGAGTTCTATAGGTATGGGCCCAGGCCAGATTAAAAATGAGGAAATAATCTTTTTTAGTTTGTTATTATTCTATTTGTAAATTTTTAGAATTACTTTAACCAAAATTGACCACATGGTTATGTTAGGACCAAAGCGCATGGCTGCAAAAACTTAACTAGTACAAATATTTTTTGACTGTTAATTATTTGGGCAAATGTTTCTTTGAGAATAAAATTAATTCAATAGAAAATTTATTTGAATTTATCTCAAATTATAATTTTTTGTCTCTTGTTGATTAAAGTTGAAAAAAGGAAAAATGCCAGGGGGAGAAGGTTCATTTAGTCACAAACAATTGAGTGGAAGGGAAAATTACATGGATTGGAAATTTTCCATGAAAATGCATCTTATTAAATTAGATTTATGGGCTTATGTAGAGGGTACAGATATAAAAGAAGATCCAGTAAAGGATACCAAAGCTTTGTCATATATAGTTGAAGGGGTAAGTGAAATTATTTTCAATGATATAAGAGATTTAACAAGTGGAAAGGAAGCATGGAAAGTATTAGCTGAAACATATGAGGATAAGGGAATCACAAGAAAGGTTTCAATAATTAAAACATTAGTGAATACCCGTTATTAATACTGATTGTAAGGATATGTCTGACTATTTACATAGGGCCATTTCAGCTTATCAGCAAGTTAAAATCCTACTGGTGTTAAACCTGATGAAGAATTAATTGCAGGAATAATTTTAGCTAATTTACCTGATAGGTTTGAACCTCTTATAATGGCTTTGAAAAATTGTGGTGAGGCAATAACAATAGTTAATAGTTGACAATGTTAAAAATCGCTTGTTAGCTGAAGATTCAAAACCCCTAGTCAATGAAAGTAAGGAATATGCATTTGTTAATAAAAATATTGGAAGCAAAAGGTACTTTAAAGGAAAATGTTTTAAATGCAATTTGTTTGGCCACAAAAGCTCTGATTGTCAGAAGTCACCTCTCAAAAAGGGGTAGATATAATGAAAACAAGTTTAACAAAAAGTCCAATGTTGGATTAAAACATAAAAAACGGGAAGAAGCTTATGTAGTGGAAATTAGTGTAGCTAATTCTAATCCAGATCCCAATATTTGGTACATGGATTCTTGTGCTTCTTACCACATGACTCCACATAAAGAATTATTAGATGATTATCAGGATGCTAGTATTCATCAAATAAAAACAGGAAGTTCAGTAATAGAAGTAGAGGGTAAGGGTAAAATAACTTTCCTCTTATCTAGAAATAAAAAAAGGGAGTCTGTAACTTTTAGTAATGTTTTACACGTTCCAAAGTTAACAGCCAATTTGCTGTCCATTAAGTATTTAAATAAAGTATTTGGAATGGTTAGTACTTTTACAAGTGAAAGATGTTTTTGTGTATGATGGTAAACATTTAGTTGCTACTGGAACAGGTATGGGAGATAATTTGTATTCTCTTGATTTATGTAATGAGTGGGCTTTAATTACTGATAAAAATATTTCAAATGAATTATTACACAAAAGAGTGGGCCATTTAAGTGAAGGAGGAATGACCAGATTAAAAGATATGGTCGAAGGTTTTACATTTAACGGAAAATTGTTAAATTGTGTGTCATGCATTAAAGGCAAAATGCATAGACAACCATTTCCCAAGGGAAAAGCTAAGCGTGCAAAAGAGTTATTAGGCATAGTACATAGTGACCTGTGTGGGCCTATGAATGTTACATCAATTGGTGGTTCTCGCTACTTTATTAGTTTTATTGATGATTTGTCGCGAATGACTTTTGTTTATTTTTTGAAAAATAAATCTGAAGTTTTTGAAAAATTCAAAATATTTCAAGCATTTGTGAAAGGCAAACTGGCAAATCAATCAAAATCTTACACTCAGATAATGGTACTGAGTATGTAAACAATGAGATGGATAACTATTTAGCATCAAATGGAATTCAGCATCAAAAATCTATTCCATTTACACCAGAGCAAATGGGTGTAGCTGAACGTAGTAACAGAACTCTTGTAGAGCGAGCACGATCAATGTTGGTGGATGCTCACCTTGATCAAAATTATTGGGCTGAAGCAGTGCAAACTGCAAATCACTGTAAAATATATCTCCAACTATTGCAGTTGCAGGTATGACCCCTTATGAAAAATGGTATGGGGATAAGCCAAATTTAGAATACTTGAGAGTATTTGGATGTCGTGCATTTGCTCACATTCCAAAGCAAAAACGTAAAAAGTGGGATATAAAAGCAAAGGAATTAATGCTTGTTGGGTACTGTCAGGATAGAAAAGGCTATCGATTAATAGATCCCAAAACTTATGAAATAATAAATGCACGAGATGTACAATTTTTGGAAAATGAAATGTACTACAAAAAGGCAAGTAATATGCCAAAATTCTATGATGAATCCTCATTCAGTGGGAGCGTGATTACGACATTTTCAGATACTGAGAATGCAATAGCTGATGATCAGAACGGTGAATTGGAAGGGATGGTTAATGATAATACTCAGTCTGATCATGAATTAGTTAATGCTAGTGTTAAATCTAATCACGATGAACATAATACTGCTCAAAATGATAGCCATGATAACAGTAGTGTAGTTGATGAGCTACCTACATTGACTAGAAACAGAAAACTTAGATTCCCAAATAGTTATTATACGGACTATGACACACACGGGATGCCAGAAATGCCAATGCCAAATTTAGATCGAATGTGCTTTGTTAAAGCTATGGCAGCAGCAACAAATGGTGTGTATTCTGAACCGAAAACCATTGATGAAGCATTAAGGGGCAATGATGCAAACCATTGGAAGGATTCTATATGGGAGACTATATTAGGCCATATTAAAAACAAAACATGGGAAATAACAGATAAACCTTATGATAAGAACATTGTAGATTGTAAATGGGTTTTCAAAATTAAATGTAATTCAGTAGGCAAGATTGAAAGATATAAAACACGTTTAGTTTGCTAAGGGCTATTCTCAGATTGAGGGAATAGATTATACTGAAACATTTGCACCAGTTGTCCGATACGTAACATTAAGAGTTTTATTAGCTTATGCAGCTATATATGATTGGGAAATTGACCAAATGGATGCTGTAATGGCTTTTTGTACAGGGAACTCTAAATGAAGACATTTATATGAAAATTCCAGACGGTTTCAGTGAATTTTACAAAGCAAAACTTAAAGGGAAAGGTCCTAAAATTAAACAAAGCATTAGATGGTTTAAAGCAGAGTGGTAGACTATGGTACCAACTGTTAGAAAAGGGTTTAATAGAATGGGACTGAGGCAAAGTTCTTTTGATAGTTGTGTCTATATTAAATAAATGAAAATAAAGATCTTGTTATTGTTACTATTTATGTTGATGACTTACTCATTTTTAGTAACATAGAACTTAAAAATTGGGTAAAACAACAACTTAAAGAAAAATTTGAAATGAAAGACTTGGGACCAGCAAATTATTGCTTAGGAATTAAAATTGAACGAGATAGAACTAAAGGGTCCATTAGCCTTAGTCAAACTCAGTATGTAGAGAGTATGCTTTGCAAATATATAATATGCATGAATCTCATGGTGTAAAAACACCATTAGACCAAAATCAAGTGTTATCTAAACTGCAGATACCAACTAGTAAGGAACAAAAGCTACCTGTTCCTTATCAGGCTGCCATTGGGAGTCTTCTTTATGCAGCTCAAGCAACACGGCCAGATATAACTTATGCTGTGAATTTCCTTAGCCAGTTCTCCAATAATCCGGCAAGGGTTCACTGGAATGCTGTCAAGCGCATCATGCGGTATCTTCGAGCCACTACAGATGCTACATTGTCTTTTTCAAAGGACCATAGTGCTGATGTCCTTGGTTACAGCGACTCAAACTATGGAGGTGATGCTGGGGATCGACGATCAACCACTGGATATGTTTTCCTCATCGGAGGTGGTGCAGTGTCATGGTGTAGTAAGCGTCAACCAACCATTGCAACTAGTACAACAGAAGCCATATGGCTCAACAAAATTGTTAAAGAACTTGGGATTATTACTGCAAAGCCAGTTATATTATACTGCGATAACAACAGTGCTATTAATCTCAGCAAAAATAGTGTGTATCATGGTAGATCAAAGCATATTGATATACAACATCATTTCGTGCGAGAAGCTGTGAAACTTCAGCACATTGACATACAATATAAGACTACTAATGATATGATTGCAGACTTTTTGACAAAAATTGTAAACAGTGCAAAACATGAAATGTCTGCAAAAATGATGGGTTTAAAATGAAGACCAATGTAATTTAATGTTTTATTATATGTATGTGTGCTGATGTAATTTCTCATTGTATTTTAATTAGGATGATATTTAAACCTAAAGTGGAGTGTAAAAAAGGTTAGCTTTAAATATGTTCTTGGCCCATAGATGGCGCCACTGTTTTTATATTCTTCTATAACTGTGCACTCCAATAAAACTTCACTTGTGTTCCAAACTCCCAACAGGTATGTTGTGTATTATTTATTCTTATGCATGCAAGTAATCCACTCTCTGCTATATTGAGTTTCTAAT